TCTGCTCCATCTGTGATACCACAGGATCTAGGGCAAGTGCCCTGCCCTTCTGGGCTCTGCCTGCTCATCTGGAGATTTCTGTCCTTATCTTTGCCCTGCTTCCCAGGAGGGTCACTGGAGGGCGGCATGATTGAGGCCAGAGGATGAGCCCGAGGGCCATGCAGACACGGGAGGGGACACCCTGGCCTGGAGGAGGCCAGGCCTGAGCTGGGCCTGAAATGCCCGGAGACGGAGCCCACAGGCTGCCGTCAGGTGTCAGGAGGCAGAGGCTCGGAACCGGAAGCCTGGGAGCGGACAGGCATGGGTTCGAGGCCAGCCCCCACCGTGCACCATCTTTGGCATTTTGGGGAAATCGCTTAGCCTCTCTGGGTCTCAGTTTCCTCCGTGTAAAGGGAATGGGAATGATAAGGTGCCCTTAGCCGGGTCAGGAGTGCCGGCCGCCGGGCTGACACCTAGGATTTTGCCTGTTGTTACTATTACTCCTTAGTGAGATCCAGGGGCTAGTGGAAGGCTCCCTGAGCCTGACTCCTGCGGGGCTCTGCACCGTGGGGCATGGGGTGAGGGGACCCCAGGACTTCGGGGTGGGAGTCCTGAGGGGTAGAGCAAGGCCCTGAAGGGAAATAGAAGCAGGTCGGGGATGGGGCTCCTCCAATGGGGCTCCAGCCGGCCCTCTACCCGCCCAAGCAGCGCCCTGGGTTGCGCAGGGGCTGAAGCAGGCGGCCCACCTGCCCACGTCTCCCGATGCAGCTTCCTCAGCACGATGTAGAGCAGCAGGAAGACCGTCTGCACGAACTGGGAGAGGGTGTTGGCGTAGGCAGAGCCCCTGGGAGGGGAGACGGCAGGGCTGGGCTGAGGCCAGCATGGCAGAGGCAGGCAGGGCTCGCTCAGGCCCTGGGACCCGTCTCGCCCTGTCTCTTTGTTGGGGCGTCCCCATCAAATTCCTCATGACCCCCCACTTCTGGACGGTGTGAGCAGCCTCCACAGTCTTTGTCGTGGGTGAAGCAAGGATGACAACTGACCTGCCCCAGGCGGGGTGGGCACTGGGTGCGCATGTCTCCGACAGGCCCCCGAAGCCCAGCGGCCTCACCTGACCCCCAGGCTCAGCACCAAAACCAGGACGTAGTTGGCCAAGGCGTTGATGAAGTTGCCCACGAGGCCGCTGAGGACTTGGGGCCAGACGATCCCCTGAAATAAACGAAAACTGGCCTGGCCTTGCTATGGGCTGGGCAGGACCAGGCGTGGGGGCACATGCAGGGGGTGCAGAGAGGCTGGAGATCAGGCTCCCCACGGGCCCTGCACCCGAGATCAGGGCGCGCAGACTCAGACTCGGACACTGAGAGGGAGAGAGCCCCCGCCCCCGGGCCCGGGCAGTGCGCTAGCCACCCTCCAGCCAGGGACCTGTACCTGGTTTTGCAGATATTTTGCCAGCAGGCTGTAAAGAAAAATCACCTGCATGAAATAAACACACCCACAGGTAAACAACCACCAAAACATGACCAGGTGAACATTAACAGGGATTTCTTAGGGATCTGAGTTTGGGGCAATGACTTCGCCAAAGTACGTGGGGGCCCCACAGGTAAGCTTCACCTGGGTGCATGCTCTGGCCCCGCCCACGGGAGAGGCCTCGGCCTCGGGTGACAAGCCGGCAGGGAAGGTGTCTCTGAGAGCGCAGGCAGCAGGCGCCTGCCAAGGCCGAGGGCTGGCGGGTGCTGGCAGCCACCCCGGGCCTCCCACCCACTTAGGAAGGCTGCCCAGTGGCTGGTTCAGGACACACCGATCCCGAATCCACAGGCGTGACCACCTGGCGCCTGGCCCTGGTCACTGGAGACAAGAATCTGGAGGGAGTGGTGGGAGCTGAGCAAGGCTGGCCGCACCAGCAGCCTCGCTGAGCAGGTTTAAGGCCCCATGAAGGGCAGGGCCTTTTTTCTCTGTGGAGCACAGGGGTCCGGGGCGTGTGTGTGTGTGTGTGTGTGTGTGTGTTGTCTGTGCTCTCTCTGTCCTCTGTCAAAGCCTGGCCGGGCCTGTGCCGTGTGCCCCATCCCTTCCTTTAGCCTCTACTCGTTGGATGGGTCCCGAGCGTGGAGCTGGAACTGCACTGCCTGCGTCCAAAGACCGGCTCTGCCGCTCAGGAGCCGTGTGATTCTAGGCCAGGGGTCCTCAAACTTTTTAAACAGGGGGCCAGTTCACTGTCCCTCAGACCGTTGGAGGGCCGGACTGTAGTTTAAAAAAAAACTATGAACAAATTCCTATGCACACTGCACATATCTTATTTTGAAGTAAAAAAACAAAACGGGAACAAATACAATATTTGTATTTGCATGTGGCCCACTGGCCATAGTTTGAGGACCCCTGCACTAAATTATCACAAATATTGTCCTTTACAAGTTACAAAAACAGGTTCAAATAATATACCTCATTTGATACCAAATATAAGATTTTATAACCTAAAAATTACTACATTTTATTAATGTTGGCAATGAGAGATTAGGTCATTGATAAAGAGCAAATGACTCAAGAAAGGCAAAATTGTGATCCAAAACCCAGACTGACTGCTCAAATGCAGTTTTTCTACAACCTTAATGTTCTATATCTAACTGCTATACCTATTTTGAAATCCTGCATACATTATTCATTTTTCTATCAGGTAAATAGCTAAACAGTACCTTTGCTTTAAAATGACATGTGTAGAAATAGTGGAAGCCCTCAAGTTTACTAGAATGTAATTAGAGAACAAAGATCACTATCCTTGTTCATTTTTATTTTGTAAATCTAACACACAATGTAATATATATATGTATTCAATAAATATTTTCTCCACAGATCATGACTCATTTTTAATAAATACTTCGAAAAAAGTATAGCTGGAGGGAGAAGGTAAGGTTAAAAGGCAAGTTTCTATGCAATAGTACCTAGACTACTGGCTGTAATAAACTGCCCAAGTCTAGGATCAAGCAACTGTGACTTGGGAAAGAATAGAAACTCAGAGACATCTAGCAAAACAGTGGAAATGATGTTGATGAAGTTCTGATAAATGTATGAATTTATTTACTAACAAGGTCAAGTATCTATGATAAATTTTAATTTTAAAGGCAGCTATGGAAAAGTGCATATAGTACAATCTCATTCATTAGTTTGATAATCAGATAGCAAAAACCCCATATTCATTTGGGGTTGGGGTAGTAAGGAGGCTAGAGCTAAGACAAGCAATACAAAACCGGGAGGGGTGAGAGGGATATAGATACTGAAGTGAGGGAAGTAAACTCTCTCTCCATCTTCCTCTCTGAAATCAATAAAAATATATTTTAAAAAATTCTTTAAGTCAAATATATCAAAAAGTTGAAAGGCAAGTGACAAACTGAAAAGTGCAACATATGTGTCAAAGGGTTAAGCTATTATTTAACAAATGATTATAATTAGAAAAAGATTAACCCATTATAATAAGCAATTCACAGAAGAAAAACAAATGATCAGCCCGGCTGGTGTGGCTCAGTGGTTTAGCATCCACCTATGAACCAGGAGGTTGCGGTTCAATTCCCAGTCAGGGCACAGGCCCGGGTTGGGTGCAGGCCTGCAGGAGGCAACCGATCAATGATTCTCTCTCATCATTGATGTTTCTCTCTCTCTCCCCCCTCCCTTCCTTCTTGGAATCAATAAAAATATATTTTTTAAAAAAGAACAACAAATGATCGCTAAATCCATGAAAAAATGTTTAATTTCATTGACAATAAAATACATGTTAAAACAATTTATTTCTAATTGGAAAAAATTAATAATACTCTGCTGATGAGAGTGTTGTGAGTGGGAGTAGAAATGCTACAAATTGGTATCAAAAGCTGTTGGCAGAGTAACTCCAATTCTAATAATGCATCTTAAGGAAATCATTACAAATGTTCACAAAGTTTTTCTATAAGAATGTTTATCAAATCTTATTTATAATAATGAATATAGGGAGCAACCCAAATACCCAACATATGGGGATTGGTTAAAAATTTGTGGCACAATGAGGTACTATGTAGCCTTTGAAATGGGTGTGTAGGAAGCTGTTTAATCATATAAAGGGACTAATGACATATTTGAAAGGGAAAGAGCAGGTTATAACACAATATACACACATTGGCCTCATTTCAAACTGCATATGTGTATGTGTGTGTGAAACCACGCATTCGTGAGTAGAAATAGTCCTGGAAAGAGAACCTATGTTCTCTCTGGATGGTAGGATTATAGGTGATTTGAAGTTTTTCTTCCCCAGGCTTTCTACAGTAAATGGTTTCCTAATCAGAAAAACATGTTCTGTTATTTTTTAAAGTTCAATCTGCACGGACCAGAAGGGGAACTTCTCAGACCCCTGCCAGCATCCTCACTGCAGTGGGAAGTCGCTGCAGGCGGATGCCTCCCAGCAGACCGGGTGGACAGGCGAAAAGCCCGAATTTGGGAGAGGGGAGCCCACCGCCTCCAGGCTCGGCACTCACCGGAAGTGCGGGCATGAAAATCAGCACGTATTCGTGGGTGAGCCTGCAAGAGACAGAAGCTCCAGAGCGGGCAGGCTGTGCCCTGTCAGCCGGGGCACCCTGGGACCCCGGGTTTGCGGAGAGCTCTCCCAGGCCCTGCAGGTATCCGCCAGGACGAGTGGGGTGCTGCCAGAGAGGAACCCCAGGACCAGCCACAGGGGCCTCGGGGCCCGGGGACTTGCATTTGGAGTCACGTGTGGCTTGTAAGGGGGTAAAAAAGTTCTCTGATCAAGAACTAGCCAATGAGTGCACATACTATAAAGTGAACAAGGCATTCTTCATGAGGGACGTTTCTAAAATTAATGATAAACGGTGTAGTTCATCAGAAATGGGTTCAGTCCTCTTTCTCCTTTTTGGAATATGGGGTAGTGCACACTTCATTTCTTTTTTTTAATCCTCGCCGAGGATATTTCTCCACTGATTTTTAGAGAGAGGGAAAAATCGATGTGAGAGAAACACATTGCTTGGTTGCCTCCTCACGGGCCCTTGAGCAGAATAGAACCCGGGGCCCTTCGGTCCACAGGCCGACGCTCTATCCACTGAGCAAACCGGCTAGGGCCACACTTGTTTCTTCAAAAAGCATCTGTGACGGTCCAGCTGGTGCTGGGACACAAATGCAAACATGCAAATCCCTTATTGGTCTCTCCTCCCAGATTAAAACCTGCCGTTTGTCTGCCCCCTGCTGGTCGCAGGCAGAGCAGCATGCTGTGCGGAAGACTCCCCAACCCTAACCTGGACCCCGCCCCCAAGCGGCACCTGTGTGTTTCTGACGGGGAAGCGGGGCGCCCGGGGGGGGGGGGG